CGGGACCCCCTGCCCCTCCGCGCCCCTGTCCCCGGGCAGGCTGGGCAGGCACCCGGCAGCCCGGGCCGCTCGCCCTGCTCGTGTCTGCGGGGCCCTTTTCCCCCAAATTCCGGGGCGCCTGGTAATCGGTGCTCACCCCCGGCGTGTCCTCCCGCTCATCCTCTTTTGTGGGTCCTCCGGGGACCAAAGGTCTCTTAACCCCTCCAGATCTTTGCTCCCTCCTCGCTCAGTCCAGGCTAAAGTGAGCGCAGGTAGTGCCGAGTTCCTCTGCCCGAAGCAGACAACGGAGTTCAGAGGAATTTTCAAAGGGCTGAGGTGAAAAAATGGCAGAAACCTGTGCCGAAAGCGCTGAAACCAGATCAGAGCCTCCCCTCACGTAGTCTGTCTGCCACAGAGGCTTTTCCAAACCCCTGGTTAGGAGCACCTTTCCATGCTTCCCATACCTCAGCAGGCATTGGGTACCAAAACCCCCCTCCTCACAAAGGCATCTTCTTTCTCATGGTCCCCTGAGGGTCCCATTTAGGTCAAGTGTCCCCTTCATATAGCTCATTTAACTTTTGTCTATTTACGGTCTTTCCTGCCTCCAAGTCATCTTCCCTTCCTCTGGACTTTGGCTCATAGCTGCATCTACAGTTTTGGAGGTGTGACTAACTCTTCTGTAGATCCCTCTGATGTGCCTGACTGGTCCATTTTGTGGAAAGCATTCTCCAAAACCCTATGGAAGTGTTTGTTGCAAAGTGTAGTGGGTCTGCAGCACTGTAAAATCAAGTGGGGAAATGGTCCAGACATACAAGCAAATGAGTTGAAGTCTGTCTCAGGCTTTGAAGAACATGTGAGAATGACACAGATCCATGTAGGTAATTTTAACTATAGGAAAACAGTCTAATTTTCTGCTCAAGACATGACAGAACTCCCTGTTTAGGTCTGCCTAACCTAAGAAACTGATACACACTACCTTCCAAAGAGGCTGACTGAACCAGGCATGATTACATGCTCCAACAAATTAAAGGAAACAGTCTGGAATACATCAAACTATCAAAATAAGTGGATATAATTTAGCACTGGACCCAAATAGTACAGTAACAATTACTTTACCAACAATGAGACTCATCTGAGTAATGATGGGGAGAGCACCTGCTTCTCGACATCACCCATCAGGAAGTCATGAAGCAATACCCCACCCCTGAATGGCTCCCCCTGCCTCTTCCTTACAAATGCTTACACTTATGCTCGGAAGCATTGGTAGCATTGTGGTTTGTAGAGAATTTGAGGAATTGTTTCTCTAAGTGTGTCTCAACTTTTCTGAAAATAAAATTAAGGTAAACTAGCCATCCCCTGTAAAATAACCTTGAAAATAATGTCCCGTGATACTGAACTGAACACCTCTGAATGATTTTTATGCTGGTCTAGAAGAACAGTTTTTTCAGGAGAGGAATAAAAGTGAAGCAATTTTTTTAAATCTATTACTTTTTTTTTTTTTTTTTTAAGAGTAAACTTTTTAAAATCCAGTCACCAACTAGTTATTAAACAATCGATAAAGGTGAAGTTAAGATAACATCAGTGACGCTAGCAGATGATTTTTGATGCTTCCATGTGAGAATAAACTCAAAAAAGACCTCTCCTCTTTTATCCTTGGAGCTCAAATCTCTTCCTAATGAAGAAGGAAAAAAAAAGTCTAAACTCTTCTTTTGACAACTAAAAACTTTAATGTGCTCTCTGAGATTCTTACAGAAGGAGAACCAAAGAGACTTTCACTGAAGTGCTATGAGGGTCTGTAGATACTGACTGTAAAAACTTTTGCTATATATGAAAGCAGCTTTCTCCAAAAAAAATAAACAAGCCACCAAACACAACTTCCTCCAGGTTCACTGCTACATAAACTGTCTTCTTACTGGCACTATTTTTCATATTATCACTATACCACACCAGGCAAGCATTATGCCTGACCTGCATACTCAAGAGATATCAGCCTTTTCACTGGCATCTGATATATATCAGTCCTATCTATTTAATCTTTGTCCACAACAATTTCATCCTCACCAAATCACAGGTGCTATTACACGCACCCAGGTACCTGTATCCAAGCTCCAGGATATCGGGCTCTTCACGAATCACCTCAAGAAAAAGAATTTAACCTTCCCACCAAACCGATGTGGTTCCTAGGGCACGCTAGGATGCACAGATGACATTTGGACGGAACACTTAGATTCCCTCATTGATTTCTACCACAAATTCAGCAACCAGAATTGTCCATCAAACTATCTCTGGAAAACTTACATCAGCATCAACTTTCTAGACACCAAGGTCAACATAAAAAATAGCAACCTTCAAACTACCATATGCAGAAAATCCACAGACCAACACACCTCCTTCCACAAACCATCAGCTATCCAAAACACACTAGAAAAACTGATACACAACCAACCCACAGACATCACCTCATTTGCTCTGAGGAGAATATTCATGTCACGCCCTCACAAAGCTACAGATGATGTTCATCCAACAGTGACACTCCTCTAGAATTGCATATTTGAAGAAGCCACCCAAACCTTGTGCAAACTTACTACAATACAGAAAGAAAATCCCCCACTGGATATCACTTACCACATATGCAACAAATTTATAATGGAAAATGTTAACAGGTTGCAACTTATGTTGGAAGAAAATAATACTTTGAAATTATTTTCTTACAAACACCCCTCCCTCCCTTCAAATGACACTCATCATCATTAGCTCCATCATTGAAAGCAGATTTCCAGAAAACCAGCATATGCTGGCTAGAACCGGATAGTTTGAAAAAATCAGATCCAAATCTTGCCACAACCCCAATGATAAATGATTGCTACGCCAGAACCACCAAAATCCACAGATCCTACACACACACATTCTAAAATGCCATGGGCATCACATGATGCATTCACTGCTCTTAGGGAACTCTTGTTGGTGAAACCAAACAACCACCATGACCCTCCTAACGAGGGAAGAACAGTGACACTGAGTTACCAGATGGAAAATTATATTCCCAAAACAGCTACCCCATCTCTAACCTTGCAGTCCTGACACTGCAAGAGCTAAGATGGGCCAAAGTGCTAAAATGTGTAACCCTATCAGATACTAGACAACATATTAGATGAATTTGAGATAGACCTCTGAGTTTCCCTATGCCTCAGGTCTTGCAGACCTTCAATGGGAATTATCAGTTCCCATGATCATTTCGCTTCTGTCACCTCTTACACGCTTAGCAGGGTCAGGATCACCCTCTGCTCCCAAAATAGCAAACACTTTTCTCTCAAATGTCCGACTGACTATAGTAATTAAGTGCAATTCAGAGCAAATTAACCAGACCTCTATGTTTTGGACCCAAAGAGTAGTTAATCTACCTGAAAATTAATTTGCTAATATCTGCTTTACCCAACTGTATCTGTTGGCCTAATAAAAGATATTCTCTTCCTAAAAAGTGTGCCTTTCTTTGGACAGTGTAAGGACTAATGACATAAGTAACAATTCCTGTGGACAAAGTCCTAGCTTTATAAGGCAAATTCTTGGTCCCTGTGCATAATACAGCTCTTTTCCATTATCTGCAAAACATTTGTGCTGCAAAAGGTGATCATGCATGTACTACCTGTTGTGATAAGACTGCATAGCTGTGAGGATTTTATCATCATTTGGCTTTGAAGCAAAACAGGAAGCAGCGTTTACATAAAAGGCTGTGTTGAAAGTAGGTTCTCATTGCAAAAAAAAAAAAAAAAGCTGAGAGTCTTGAAAAATCTGAAACTGTCAAAGAGCAGCAAGCCTACAGGTTAAAGTAAAAGAAGACCTTTTCTTTATTATTATTTTTCACTTGGTCTCCTTCAAAATAGGGACAATCATTAAGACTTCTTCTCCTGACCTACACTTCAAATGAGGTAGCATTTGTTAACTGAAGAGAGATTATGTAGCTGAAATATTTTACTTCAGTAAAGCAGTAAGTGTGACCATCCAACTGCATCTTTTTTTTTAACAAGCATTGTTAAGAAACTGCTATGTTCTTACACTTGTGAGATTTTATTCTGTGGACAGATGTTCATAAATAACTTCTATGCTATTACTATTGGTGGGAATATTTTTTCAGGAAAAAAAATTTCATCAGCAAAAGGTTGTTTTGGGCCTGGTGCAAATGTTTAATTGGGATGCACCAGTTTTGAACATGTTTTGGACAGTAAGGTTTCCAAGGAACAGAACAGCCTCTTTAAGGAATCCTGTAACTGAGACTCTGATCTACTGGTTGTGAGTAGGGACGTTTTGATGCAAATAGTGAAAAAATGCAGAGAGGTGTTTTCCATACATGTTAGGAGGAAACGAAATTCTGCAACCTCTGAAATTGTCATGAAATAGACTTGACCATTTTTTTTCACTTCCTCTCATGCTATACAGTGATTAATATATGTAAATGTCTGAGTGTAAAAAGAAGGGTGGCGAAATATACCCAGTAGCACAGAATGCCTCACTGAAAACTTTTGCTCTTATTTAAAATGGTATTCAAGAACAGGTTGGGAGACAGCAACTGGTATACCAGGAAGTAATTGTTATATTTGAAAAGAG